ATATACTACTCTTGCAGGTGATCCAGGTTCAGTTCCTAGCACATACATTGGGCAGCTCACAACCATATGTAACTACCGTTCCAGGGCATCCAGTGCCATCTTTTGGCTTCCACAGGCACCTATGCACATGGTTTATAAAAACCCACAAAAGTATATAAATAAGCATAACAAAATAAATAATTTTCAAGAATAATATTTGACTTAGCCAATTCATCTTATGCTCTCTTAAATGCCATTGACAGCTTTTAATTGATACTTTTTTTTTTTTTTTTTTGGTTTTTCGAGACAGGGTTTCTCTGTGTAGCTTTGTGCCTTTTCCTGGAACTCACTTGGTAGCCCAGGCTGGCCTCGAACTCACAGAGATCCGCCTGGCTCTGCCTCCCGAATGCTGGGATTAAAGGCGTGCGCCACCACCACCCGGCTTTAATTGATACTTTTAATCCCCAAGGGTAGATATTTTCTATAAATAATAATCAAAAAATTTTACCTCCTTTGCAATCCTGAATGGATATTCTAGTGCCTTGATTTCAATGTGAGTTTATTTGCCAATACTTGTTTTGGGTCAACTTTTTTACTAACTTGAGACTACAAAATTCCTTTCTTGTGTAGCTACATCCTGTCACCTATGCAAATACTACAAAACTGCTATGTGATTTTCTCATGATTCACATCAGTTTACATGGCTTAAAACTATGGATGTTCATCAAAACATAGAAAGAAAAGCCTCAGAAAAGTTAAAATCTTCCTGCTACAACCTGCCTCCACCACTATGACCTCTACCTGAAATTCAACCACATAATCAAGGGGATGCGAGAGAGTTAAGGTTTCACACAGAGCTAGAGTCCATGAGTCTGTTAGTAACATCAATGCTGCAGTATGCCATTTCCAATGTCCTTTACGGAAGAATATACCTACATTTATTAAAATGAGGTTTAGGAGCAGATCTAACCCTTCACTAGCCTGGAAGCAGGAAGACATGGTTCTAGACCTCATTGCCTGGAGACTGAGAACTAGGAAGACAGATTAAGTATGGGACAATGAGCTGCCAATCAGTTCACAGAGCCAGTGCTGGGAGGGATGGGCAACGACCTTGGAAAGAGATGAACCAAATCAAAACCAGGCCTGAGGGAAACACTCAGATTTGGGGACCATCTTCCTGCAACTAACGTTGAGAGACGCAGGTCAGCAGCAGATCCGGTTCCATTTTGACCAACTCTGCTGGGACTCTCAGGGAAGGGTTATGTTATGGTTGCCATGTCACCCACAGTATGGGAAAGAATTACAAAAGCCTGGGGTGTGAAACCTCCCCTTAGTGAAAAAAGACCAGCAGAGGAAAAGGTGGAGGGCCTGTAGTTCAGATGACTTTTTAGAGAGAATGTATAGTTCATGCGAAAGTACTGTGTGTGAGTGTGAGTGTATGTATGTGTGTATACATCATTTGTGCATCCCTGGCGGGTACACAGACTCTAGTGATGAAGGACAATGAATGATGAAGCGGAAGAAGCAGAGCCCTCATGATGAGCCTTCTAAGACACATTCTGACTCTGCCTACAAGGGAAATGACACCATTTCTTCCACTTACACTGTGTGTCCCGCTTTCAGGACCAGCCACATGCCTGTCTCCCAGCACTGAGCACCTCCACAGGCTCCACCTTTAAAACATTCACCTTTAAAACGCCCTGCATTCTCTCTCCAACTAGGCTTAAGTGCTTTGACAGCAAGAACCAAATATTTCCATTATAGCTACAATGTTTAAGACTTCTTGGCACATCTGTTATTTTAGGAAACATTTATTAGCCATGCTGGGTACTGTCCTGTATATCAAATAAAATAAACAAGGTCCCTGCTCCTCTTAGGGCAAGTGAAAGCAGGCCAGGGTAGATGTTCAGTATGTAATCCCTGCTTCCCTTTTGCCAATTAAGACCAGTAGCAAGAGCTTTAGTTACACTATTAGGTGCCTTTCTTTATAAATACCTGTATAGGGCTCAGGGGGTAAAGTGTTTGTTGTGCGAGAATGGGAACTTGAGTTTGGATCCATATAAAAGCTCAACACAGTGGCATGCATCTATCACCCCAGCACTAAGAAGAAGGAATGACAGGTCTCAGAAGCTCAGTGGCCAGCCAGTCTAGCTGAGACCTCAAGCTCTGGGTTCAGTGAAAGACCATATCTCAAGAACTAAGGTGGAGAAGCAATTGGAGAAGATGCTCTGATATCAGCCTCTGGTTTCCACATGTTCCTGCACACACACACACACACACACACACACAACACAGAGAGGGGGCTATTGAAAAAAAGCTACTCAAGCCTATCTTCATATGTATAAATGCTTCTATTGTCAATCTTACAAATTTACTTACTTTCAGTAGGAAACTGAGGCTGTCACAGATATACCAAAAGCAAATGAAATTTCTATGAAACACTCTTTGGGGTATTCCATTGTCCTTCAGTTGTGAAAACAATGTCATTCACTTAGTCTCCAAATGAGAAAACTCAGCCCCAAATGTTTTCAGGGTAGTGCTGCATGCGTGCAATCCTAGCCCCTGGGAGCTAAAGCAGGAAGAATGAAAATTCAAGACCAGCCTGGGCTATGCAGCAAGACCCTTCCTCAATAAGAAAAAGACAGTTGTATTCCATTAGAACATCAGGCTCCATTAATGTTTTAGGGTCACTTGCTTGGAATTATATGATAGAGGAAATAACAGTTGGAAGGTTTGTTTATTGTGATAGATTTTAAAGAATGACATGTAAAACTCTTATCAACAGAATGACAATTTCAACCCAACCACTTTGAAATGGTTTTTATTTGTTTATCTGTTGGTGTCTGCCTGCCTGCATGCCTATCTGTCTGTCTGAGATAGGGTCTTGCTATTTAGCCCAGGCTGTTCTTGAACTTGATGTGTAGCCCAGGCTAGCCATGAATTTGTTAACCTCCTGCCTCTGCCTCCAAAGTGCTGAGACGACAGGTCATACCAGCTTCCAGATGGTCTTGTGAGTGCTTCTCAAAGAGGAATTCCCCACAGCCAGGGCAGGAGAAGTGCCCAGGAAGTTGTTAGAAATGCAGATTCCTTGCCCGACTTCCATCTGACTGAAGCAGAAGTTGGTGCCTAACAAACCTTCCAGATGATTCTGATGTACACTGAAGTTCAAGAATGTTCTAAGAACATGTTGAAAAGATCCTTAATAAACTTTCATATCTTGTTGACTGTTAGGACAGAAAGAGATTTGGGAGAGTTCATGGAACAATGCTTTTGTGTGTTGGACAGATGGAGACTAAACCCACAGATTTTCAAGAGCAACCAGAACCTTAAGCAAAAATGTGCTCTAGCATAAAAGTGAGGGTCCATTGCTTTGCATATCCAAAATCAAACTTCACTTTTTTTTAACATTTATTTGTTTATCTTGTGTACGTGTGTGCTCACATCTATGCCACGGCACATGTGTAGAAGTCAGAGCACAACTTGTGAAAGTTCCCTTCTTCTGTGGGCTCCAGGTATTGAACTTAGGTCAAGTTTGGCAACAAGCACCTTTACCACTGAGCCATCTCACCAGCCCCAAACTTCCACTTCCTTAATGTCCATGCAAAAAAGTCATTCCTATTTATTAATAGATCCAGATGAAGTTATAGAACCAATCATATCTAAAGGATAAGCCACAAACATTTTAAGATAAGAAGAGAGAGGCAGGCAGGCAGGCAGACAGACAGATAGACAGACAGACTGAGAGCAGCAAAGCTTTATTTTATGAGTCAGTCAAGAACTCAGAAGCCAAAAGTATCAGGCATGATGTCAGACTCGAACCTAAGCCAGCTCCCACAGTTCCCTGCCCAGACTGAAACTAAGAATAGTCTTCTACCTTGTTCAAAACACTTCTTTAAAAGGCTAATTAAAATTAAAAAGGATGATCTAGCTTTTCCAATGTCAGCCCAGGCTGATGGTCAAAAACAGAAGCAGAAAGCCACTTGCTGGCTGTATGGTTTAGGGCAAGTTTCCTCATGTCTCTGGGCCTTTTCTGTTCTGCTGTGTGTGGTGCTGCATGCAGACTTCTCCATGCCGTGTAAAACCAACTTTATAAATGTTGGTTGCAGCCCTTTCCATTATCAGTGTTTGAAATTGTATTACTGAGGTGAGGTGTGGAAGGGCAAGTGTATAATACTGGAACTTGAGAGACAGAAACAACAGTCTCATAGCAAGTTCAAGACCAGTATGGTCTATATTGACAATTCCAAGCCAGCCAGGGATATGTAGCAAGGCTTTGTCTCATAGAAAAATTAATTTACAAAATACAATAGATGGTATCACCAATCCTACCGTAAAGATGTCTTCATGCTATCCTTCATTTATAGGATGTCACAAGTATATTACTATTTTAATTTAACCTTTTGAGCATTTTGTCTGCATGTATATCTGTATACTATGTGAGTGAAGTGCCCTCTAAGGCCAGAGAGGGTATTGGATCCCTAGGACCTGGAATTATAGCTGCTTGTGAGCCACTATGTGAGTGATGGAAATTGAACCTGGGTCCTTTGGAAGAGCAGACAATGGTCTTAACCTCTGAGCCATCTTGCCAGCCTCCAAAATATATTATTCTTAAAAACAGTCTGTCTATACCAGTCTAACTACTGATATCCATGTAGATTTATTGAGGAAGATCAAAGGCATCATTAGTGTTACAGCAAAACAGCAGTTAATTACCCTGTGCCGTTAGTTCAGCTTTTAAGTTGAGCCTCATAAGCAACCACAAATGCTTTGAGCCCCCGGCTCCAATGGTGTTTCATTGATAGGCACATGTTCTTGTAAGTATTTTCACCTAAGCAAAACATTCAGAATATTTCATAGCAAGAGTTTGTGGCTAGAAGGGGCCAGATTTCATAGTTCCTTGGCTCATACGCCTATGACAAGGGCCCCAAGGACATCTCCCAAAAGCAAAAATACCCTCAACCGTGCAAATAGTGATGCTACAGTGTCCTCAAGAATCCTTCCCCGGGGTGAAAATTCCTTACCCGACTGTGAAACTTGGCAGTTCGGTAAGACTTGGGTGACAGGTTGTATACTGTGTAGTGGTCGAGATGTCTGGAATCCAAAAAGCTACGGATGTCATCAACCTGATTCCTGAATCCTATGTCAACGTTGTCCAGAGGAAAGGACATCACTAGGAGAGGTCACAACCAAAGAGAACGGGGTTAAAGCCATCTGCTGTCAGGATGAATGGCACTGAAGAGCCGCTAAAGAACGTGAGACACTCACCGATAATTCTGGAGGTGACGTAAGTGAAGTCTAGGTCTCCCTTTGTGTAGCTGAAAGCAAGACAGGAGAGAGGATTAGAGCAATCGGAATAGGTGAAGATTTCTGTCTCCATTGAAACATCATGAACTGGAGCACTTGTGTCCAGCGGGCATATTTGAACTCTCCTCACTCTCTTTCCTCTAACAAGGAGGCCTCGTTGAGAGAAGGCAGCCCACAGCCTCTGGCTACACCACCCAGCTGTGCATGCTGCATCCCTACACACACCCCTTGATGAGCGGTGTCAATCTCAGAATAGAATTGCTGTGTCTTTCCTAACACCGACGGTTTCTGAGTGCCTGACCCACTGGAACGCTCATTCCTAATTGTGAACTGCTAAGGGGAGAGTGGATAGAGGCTGAGAAAAAGCAAAAGATCCCTTTTCTCCTCCTACCAAGGTCTTGGCTAAACAACAGAAGAAACAGGAAATTTTGCCTTTGAAACAAGATTAAAATGCCAATAAATATATTGAATTTGACATTTGATTTCTGACTCAAAACTTCATATTGTAACCAAAAATAAACAAATAATTTTCTAATTCTTAAGAATATAAAAATTACTACATTATTTATGTAAGAATCTTCATGGAGGGGAAGAGCAATCAACTTCCCCCACTAAATAAATGTTGAAGGACTAGAGGATACGACAGTTCAGTTTCAATTGCAAGCCACAGACTGCCTGTGCATGATCTGATCTAATCCCCAAGCCTCTCAGACACAAATCCTATCAGAGAATTCATTACCTTGCCTTACACCACATAGTTTATAAGCACAGATACTGCATCAGAACCCACGATGTTCGTAAAGCCAAAGATGGTGACCATCCCACACCAACATACTAATGAGCTCAGTCCCCCTATAGACTGTGCTTATAGCTCCAAAGGGACTTAACATTCAGTTTCAGTCAGAGAATGCAATCATGTCACCAAGCTGACACTATGTGAGTCCAATAAGCAGTTGGCAAGGAGCCAGATCCCTTGGAAGCCTGGGTTCCGCCAGCTTCCCCCAGAAGAATGTACGCACCTGCTAACAGACTGGATGACTCGAGAGGATGTGTCTTTGAGGGTGTCCTTCAGGTTGTCCTTCAGATTACTGAATAGCCTCCCTGCACCACCTTTTACCATGTCAAAAAGGCCTCCCCCATAGCTGGGCTCCATGTCTGGAGATGAGGCACCTGAGAAGGAAAAGTAGAAGGTTAGCATACAGACAACACGGAACGCCAGCTGCTCTTCGTCCTACAACACGTGGATCGTCTCTAAGAGGCTGGGAATATCCCAGCAATTATGTACTGTTCTCAGAATTTATGAGCTTTAGCAATGCTGCTGGGCCCCAGAGAGTACAAGGTAAGTTGTTGCACGTGGAGTCGTAGGAACAGGGACCTCCAGAGTCACATTGCTCAATACCACGGCTGACATTCATAGGTAGCCATTGAGCACTTGAAATACAACTAACTGGTCACACTGAGCTGTCCTGTAAAAATACACAGAAAATTCTAAAAACTTGGCACGCGCGCACGCACGCGCACGCGCACGCGCGTGCACACACACACACACACACACACACACACACACACACACACAAACCACCTCCATATTTTTATACTGATTACATTTTTAAATAATTACATTTTAGAAATATTAAACTAAATATATAATTTCACCTGTCTCTTTTTAATGTGAATACTAAAATTATTTTATTTATTGCATTTCATTTCATTTCATCTTATTTTTGAAACAAAGTGCTGCTCTATAGAGTAGACTAGCCTCAAGCTTACTACCTCCCCTCCTCAGCCTCCTGAAGCTGGGATTACAGGTGTGCACCATCACACTTGGTTTGGAAAAGTTAAAAAGTTTAAATCACCTACATAGCCTGTATTATAGTCTAATGACACAGAGAGACCCCAGGAGAAAAAAAGCATGCCACTTAAGTTCGTTCATCTGGGGCCTGCTCTGGCCTCCAGTGGACCTGACTAATAGAGGTTCATTATATCCCATCCCTCGGCAACAGATCCCTTCCATCATGGCTGAGAACTGCATAGTGACCACTGCTGTGACTTACCAGACACTTCAGTGTCTATTCCCCTGTGGCTACATGAAATTGCACCCCCTGTGGTTAGCTCTTGTCAGCACTACAGATTTTGGGGTCCAGTACTTCTTTTTCTGAGGTACCTCTGCATTTTGGGTAGACTCCCTAGCCATCGTAGAGTCTGGTACTATCTAGAGATCCAGGCGACCTCTGGGGACTTGGAACTTAGTCTCTGCAAATGCAAAGAAGAGGATTCTATTTTGTCATTTTTCCTGACCCCTGATAAAATGAGGTAATTTTCTTTGTGTTTATTAGCCAGAAAGTTTTTTTTTTATTTCAAGTACCTACTATACCCCTACATGCTATTAGCATATGCCTATAAATACATGTTTATTGTCATTCTTCCGTCCCGATCACAAAACTCATGGATGCCTTAGTCGTGATTAAGCATCTATTTCAAGGTGGAGCTCTATCGGAAATCGCAAAGAACAGTGAATACTGGTGAATAAAGAAACAGACGCATGAGCAAACAGCAACAGAGCCCTCCACTTCCTGGAGGACAGGAGCTCTGCTCTGACCTTTCATGGTGGTACAGTTCCTCACCATTGGAAATTGTTTATTATTCCTCCTGAGAGGCAGTGAAGCGGGGTCTCATTCCAGCACCAAACCTGACCCGGAATTCACAGTGATTTTCCTGCCTCAGCTTCCCACATGATAGGATTATAGGTTTAAGCCCATGCTGGGCCTATTACTCCAATTTTACAGTAGGAGAACTGGAGTCTCAAAGAAGGCTGCTCATTGACAGCCTCAGTTAACCAGAAGAACCAGCCATTCACACCCATGTGCGCAGTTCTAAAGTCGAAATGAGAACCAGCCACATCCCACTATGCCCCTGGCTGATACCAGCCCATGATTCTACCAGCTGTGGTTAAGATGGTCCTTCTTTACTAGCATGTGTGTGTGTGTGTGTGTGTGTGTGTGTGGTGTGTGTGTGTGTGTGTGTGAGAGAGAGAGAGAGAGGGGGGGGGGAGAGAGAGAGAGAGAGAGAGAGAGAGAGAGAGAGAGAGAGAGAGAGAGACTCTCCTCTGAGCCAAGAAATAGCCATCTTGGGGAGTTCAGCTGCTCCTGGGTCCAAAGGATCACCCCACTGAGTTTGTAGACTGTTTAGATTCTCTCTCAGAGAGTCCGGGGAAGAGACCCTCACCTAAGTACCCAGTCCCTCCTACCCAGCACCTCTACCTTGGGTAGGGGATAGAGTATAGAGGCAGGGAAGACTAGGAGGGAGCTCCATCTATACCGCTAGAGGGAAGTCCTCATCCCTGCTGAGTAAACGCTTTCCAGGTGTGGCCTGCTGGGGGAAGAATACTCACACCCCTGCAGGTGACCTCTCACTCACACCCCTGCAGGTGACCTGTCCCTCACCTACACACTGTAAGGAAGCTCAATAAACTCATTGGTTCCCTAGAGTGAACTTGGGAGGAATCATGCTTTGGTTAGTTACTGGGGCCTTAGGAGGGAGGATGGCTATTGTTTATGTCCCCTGAGAAGGAATCTTAGCAATTCTGCCTCCTATCCAGCCCCCACAACTGTCCCTTGATCTTCTCATCCTCCTACTGTGTGCATTTCATCTGGCAGCGCAGTGATGATGCTCTTATGACCAGCACCCCCAAAATCTCTGCATCTGTCAAACCAACTATAGGAGTTTGAAAGAAAATGGCCCCCAAAGAGAGTGGCACTATGAGGAGGTGTGGCTTTGTTGAAGGAAGTGTGTCACTGTGGGGGTGGGCTTTGAGGTCTCTTTTGCTTACGCTTCCCTCAGTGTGTCTGTCAGTCAGCCGATTTCCTGCTACCTCTTCCTCAAGATGTGGGACTCTCAGCTTCAGCACCATGTCTGCCTGCATGCCACCATGCTCCCCGCCATGATGATAATGGACTGAACCTCTGAAACTGTAAGTGAGCCCCGTCAAATAAATATTTTCATTCATAAGAGTTGCCGTGGTCATGTGGTCATGGTGTCTCTTCACAGCAATAAAAACCCAAACTAAGACACCAGACAAACTAAATTATGTTGGCAGCCTGAGCTCTGGTGACCCCTCTGCTCCACAGGTTGAGTGACATGCTGGAGCTGGGTCTGACAGCAGGGAAGACTAGTGCTACAAGCATAAGAAAGCTCTCTTGTGTTCTGGTTCCTGTTGTGTTTGTGATTAAAAAACACCACCATAGCCGGGCGGTGGTGGCACACGCCTTTAATCCCAGCACTCAGGAGGCAGAGCCAGGCGGATCTCTGTGAGTTTGAGGCCAGCCTGGTCTACAGAGATCCAGGACAGGCACCAAAGCTACACAGAGAAACCCTGTCTCAAAAAAAAAAAAAAAACCACTATGACCAAGGCAATTTATAGAAGGAAGGGTTCATCTGGGCTTATGGTTCCAGAGGGATGAGTCCATCAAGACGGGGAATCAAGAAGCAGGTATGTTGGCTGGCGCAGCAGCTGAGAGTTTACACCTCAAACTGAAAATGGGAAATAGAGAGAGCTAACTCAAAATGGCATGAATTTTTGGAAACCTCAAAGCCTGCCCACAGTGACATACCTCCTTCAGCAAGGCCACACCTCCTGATCTTCTGCAAACTGCCAACACCTGGAGATCAAGTACTCAGATGTCTGAGACTTATGGGGAACATCCCATGCAAACCACTGCACCTATGAAAGAGGTCAGTTTACCTCCCTTTAAGGACATGCATGTGTAAAAAGTGGTATCCTATTTTCATTTTGAATATATTGAGGACAGAGAAGCAAAAAATGCTCACCCCATTTACACTCCAAAGTGCTCTGTCTGAGCACCCTCCTGAGATACCACTTCTTCATGTTGATTATCTAGACATCTCACTGACTCTCAGTTTCATGCTGGAGCAGAACACTGAGGCACAGGCCTATTAAAAGATGTGACTGTCTTTGATCATCTAAAACTCACTCTCAGCATCACTCAGGTCTCTCTCTGCTCATTAAAAATGCTGCTGAAGCCGGGAATGACTTTCCAGAGCCATTTATAACACCCATACATTCAAACTATGTCACATAAGCCATGACACAAAAAGAGAAGGGGGGCACTGTGTGATTTCACCCTAATGGCTCATTTGGGTGGGTGTACCAGCTTTTCTCGGTGAGCTACACTAGGTGTCGAGAGTACAGATTCTGCAAAGGGTATTCTTGCCTCAGCTAGTGGAAAGAGAGGGAGAGAGGTTTCAAACCCGACAGAGCAGTAGCCATAGTACAGCGGGACTGAGCTCTAGCCTGTGGGCCAAATCCAGTCACCTGTTTGTCTCGATGACTTTCCTATGTTTTAACTGTTGGGGGTAAAAATATCAAAAGACACTCGAGTTCATACTCCATGACAATTACATCACGGCCGACTTTCAATGGCTAGAAATCAAATGTTACTGGAACACAGGGCAGGAGATGTAGCTCAGTGGCATATCACTTCCACATAGAAAACAAGAGCAGATTGAGACTTCTGTGTTCATGTCTGGTCTGTGGCTTCTGGTCTGCAACGGCAAAGCCGAGCAGCTGTGAGACACCCGTAGAGCCTAAGTATGTATGAGCCAGCCCTGTAAGGAGGGTTTCCCAACCTCTACACTAGACTGTCCACCTTAAACACTACCTGTGGGAACAGTGCTGGCCAGGGCCCTTAGGGGATCCGAGGATCTAAGAGGGTGTCAGGGTCAGAAGTGACAGTGTATGTCTGAGAGTGCCATAGAAGGAGAAAAGACTGGGTCTTTGCTTCAGGCTCCCAGCAGACTCTTATCTATAATGACATTGTGTCATTTTAAAACCTAAGCCCACAGAAGGCAAAAGTCAGAACCATACCCTGCCTCCTCACTAACCAACCCCATGTCATTCCCAAAATGTCAGAAATGAGTTTTCTTGGGGATTATTAGCACTCAGAAGAGCATCATATCCCTCCCGTTATGAGACCAGCACACAGACTGCCTGACTGGTTCTTACAACACTGTTGACTCCTGGGACAGCATCTGTCTCCCCACTGAACCGTTCACTGTTCACCTGTCGGCACCCACTTCTTTTCAAGGAGTATCGGAGGCAATTCAAAAGTCATTTGGAAAATGTTCAGGTGGGCCTAACTGCCTCACTGTGT